TCCCTTTTCATCCTCACCGACACTTGTTATTTCTGCGTTTGTTTGTTTCTTGGTATGGACCATTCTCACAGGTGTGGTGGGGCATGTCACGGTTGTGATTTGAATTTCCCTGATCATAAGTAATGGTGAGAATTTTTCATGTGCAGGTTGGCTAGCCATAAGTCTACTTTGGAACAGTATCCATTAAGCTCTTCTGCCCATTTTTTGATTGAGTTATTTGTTTTTGGTTTTTTGGTTAAGTTATATGAGTTATTTATAGATGATTATTAACTCCTTGTCAGATGTATGCTGTGCAAATAGTCTTCCCTTTAGTAGGCTTACGTTTTGTTTTAATCATAGTTTTATTTTTTGAAGTGCAGAAAATTATTATGTTGTAGTTTTATTTGTTTACATTTTCTTTTGTTTCTCTTGCTGTCGATGAGGAAAGAACAAAGACAGTTCTGAAACCAATGTCATGGAGTGTTTTGTGTATGTTTTCTTTTACATGGTTTGTATTTTTCAGGTCTAACATCCATGTCTTTAGTTCATTTTGGGTGAATTTTTAGTAAGGTGTAAGACAGTGGTATAGGTTCATTCTTTTGCATGTGGCTATCCAGTTTTCCCAACACCATTAATTGAAGGTATGATTCTTTCCTTTCTGTATTCTAGACTCTTTGATTCTAAATTAACTGCCAATATGTGCATGGGTTTATTTCTGGGTTATTTTTTGATTACTCTAACTTTGTAATATAGTTTGAAATCAGGAATTATAATGATTCGTTCTTTCTCTAGATTTCCTTGACAATTTGTTGTTCCATACACATTTTAGTATTCTATTTTCTATTTCTTTAGAAAAAGTCATTTAGATTTTGATAGAGATAATTCTGAATCTGTAGATCCAGTAGTATCTACTGGATCTGTAGTACTGATATTTTAGCCATAACAATTCTTCTAAGCTTTGAATACATATCTTTCAATTTATTTGTGCCTTGAATTTCTTTCAAAAATACCTTATAAATCTCAGTGCACATATCTTTTGCCTCCTTGTTTAAATTTATTCCTAAGCATTTTGTCCATTATGTAACATAACATTGTAAATGGAATCGTTTTATTTATTTCTCTTTCTGATAGCTCCTTGGTAGTATGTGGAAACAAAACTGATTTTGTGTGATGATTGCAGGTTGATTAGAAGTTGTACCCTCAGGCAGCAGCTAGAACTGTGAGATAGGCAGTTTTTACAATTTTCTTTGTGAAGACTTCATATATAGCCTCAGGTTAAGAAATGTTTCTTTGTTACCTTTCTTTTGGAGTTCTGAATGTAAGCCCCATAGGTTATCAGAGTCAGGTGATGGGGCCCATCCTTTGGGTGGCAATCACAAAACGTGCGGTACCAGATATATGTACAAATTTCTCTGGAGGATGTTGGTAAATTGGTTTTATTGACTGGGATGGAGGGAGAAGGTGATCTCTGGAGTGGATTGCAAACTGGCCCCTAAAGGCCTGCAAAACTTTAAGTCTGACGCTCAGGTGACAACTTTTCAAGTATGCAAATAAACCACTTTTTGAAGAAATACTGACAGATAAGCTTTATTTTTTTTTAAATCTGCTTCCTCTGCATTGAGCCCTGGGAAGCTGGTTATGGGAAATACTTGTATACCCTTGATACCGGAATTGTCAGGTCTAGTCTCCCAGCCAGGAACGGATTCCAGGCTGCAGGGCAGCGCTGAGCCCCAGCCGCTAGACCCCCCACGGGTTGGTGTCTCAGGAAGCCGCAGCAGGAACTTCCGCAGACACTCAGGTAAGCAAGGGAGAAGAGGCAGGGCAGGTTTGTTTAGAAAAAGTTTATTGGAAGGATTGGGGTCAGAATGGGGCGTTTGCAATTGTATGGGGGAATATAAAAATAAAATTTATTATTTAACTTTTTTTTTTTTTTTTTAAAGAGGCATGTATTTTTATTTATTTATTTATTGTTTGTTTGTTTGTTTGTTTGTTTGTACATGCACTGGGTACAGTCAGAAGCGCGGGAGGGTGAGAGAATTCACCAGAGTCAGAGCAGGTAGCAAAGCAGGCAGAAGGACCGAAGTACACTGCTGAGGGGAGCAGCGGGCGGCAGGAGAGGTCTGCATGCCATGTGGGACCCTCCTCCAGTGGCCGGGGAGCAGCCGGGGATCGAACCGGTGCTGCAGAGGCCGCAGGCAGCTTCGCAACCCAGCGCTCAACCGCTGCGCCACTGGGGAGGCCCAAAATTTATTATTTAAAAAAAATAAAAATAAAAGCAAGCATCTCGTTAAAGGAAAAGTTCACTTCAGACATGAAAGGGTTATCCTTAATAAGCAAACGTTCACATGATTCAACATGGGTTCAGGGTAGAAAAGGCCAAAATTCCCAAAAGGAAGAGAGGAAGACATGCAGAGACAAGCCAGAAAAAGCCATGGAACACAGTCCATATTTGGGCTCATTGGGAACCGCCGTAGGGGGTGAAAGCAATCCTTTCTCAGGTGCGAGATCATCAGAGCTGCCTTCACCGTGAGGCCCAGCACTGGCCGAGGTCAGGGTCCTCAACACAGCCTTCAGGAAAGCAGTTTGTCAAATTACAACCCATGTTCCACTATTGGAATCTTCCCGAAGGAAAGCAAAGACATAGGCCTAAGTCATTATCTACTGTTACTCAAAATGCAAGGGCTGGAAGGATGAGGCCCTGCAGGAGGTCTTCGTTCTCCCAACCATGGCACCTGAGACCACCACAGACACTGACCGCTGCTCCCGCACTGGAGTGCTCGCGTGTCACAGAAGATCGAGGAACAATTGTTAAAGCAACAAAATAAAGGAAAAATCTGCAAGAAAATAAAAAAAATAAAAAAAATAAAAGTTTATTGAGAAGAAAAAGAGCAGAAATAAAGTGGGACTCCCAGGCCAGGGAACCAGGCCTGGGAGGGACAAGGAAGCCAAAGTGAAGTCATGTCTCAGGGAATATATACTTTCTTTCCCTGATTATTCTAAAGCTCTACCAGTCTCTTTGTGATTGGTCAGTTTTTTTGGCTGTCTCACTTAATTTGCTACTGAGTGGGAGATCTTCACATTCCTTATCTAACAGGTCTGTCTTTCCCCATTTGTTACATCTTTATCTTTATGGTCTAGCCCTCCGGGTGAGCATCTTTACACTTTATCTTATCATCTGAAGAAAACCAGGACCATCCTTAACAAGATTATCTGTGGTGCTAGGATGTTTGTTTTTCCCAGTGGAATTGGTTTCATTTCCTTGCTTGTCCTTATCTCTGAAGCCTTCCTGAATTCTTCAAAGGTCCCCTCCTGCACTGTCCTAAAACTGCCTAATAACCCTAGCTTGCCCTGTCTCACCCTTTAAGAACTGTGTTTATTTGCTTTGCAGTAATTTGCTTTGTGCACCTAAGCCAAGACAACTTCTGATTTTCAGAGTTAGGTGTCTTTGGAGTCCTTTCCTCTGGCAGGAGTCTTAAATTTGGGGTTGTAAGATGTGGCTTACAAAGTCTTTACTCCCCAAGAAGTTGGAATTAGAGATTTCCTTCGAATTGTATGAAGCTGTGCCATTGTTTGCGTTTGTGATAAGAGTTTACCTCAGCCTTTCCTACCTATTTCATTGTGGGTATTTTTTCACTTGTATAACACATATCACTTAATCAGCTAGCAGTTGATCTAGGGGGAATTTCTGTATGTGTAGTTATAAATTTAGGTGTTCCATGGCAGGAAGGCGGTCTTAGTGGCCTTCTATGTTGCCACCTTGGCCGTTGCTCACCCCTTATATTTTGATAAAGTATATCTACTTTTCTACATAAAATTCACATCCATATCATGTCACTTATTTTAATGGCATTGTTCCAGTGGTGTTAAAAAATAATTACAAAGCAGTTACAGTCTTCTTAGAAAATAGACAGTCTTTCAACAAATATGTTAAAAACACATAATATGTGTTCCCTGTCACTTGGCAGTTTTTTTATCGGGCCTGTTCTTTTTAAGCCATACTGTTATTACACAGAATGTGCGGCCAGAAAACCTGCATGTTCTAAATGGGCTGTGCCACCGACTGCATAGACAAAGCACACTGTTCGTGTGAAAGAAGTTTAATAAGATTAATGTGCACAGAAAGAGAAGAAAGGATAATAGTTTCCCAATAAAACCCAAAGTTGTGCATCCCCTTGTGGGTAAATGCCCATCCAAACAAGGTTGGCTCAAAGTGGAGCCTCTGAGGATTGAAAGTTTGCTACCAGTCTAAGGCACCTTCTTGTGGGGAACAACAGGAAAGGGGCAAAAAGGGCCAGGCAAGTCGGGGACTGAAGGACCAAAATTAAAGTAAATATCAAGATTACAACTGCCATGGTCAGCTTGCAGGTTTGCTTCCACCCACGTGTCCCTTCCAAGTCCCCTAAGTTCCTGGTGCAAGTCAAGTCCAAAGCCAAGAAGAAAGTGTGTCTTCCCCCCCCCCCCCCCCCCCCCGCATTCTTCCCAACCAGCCCCCCACCCCCGACTCCGTTCTGTCTCTAAGTGCCTCACCTTCTAGTGTTTCTAGCCTCAAGCTTCCCCTGGCTCCTCAGCTCCACCCATCTTTAGGTGGGACAGGGAACACAGCACCTCCCTTTTTTAGTGTAGACGCTTGGTTAATTGTCAGTGGGAGTGGGGTTTTGATTTCTTCACTCAGGAATGAAATGAGAACTTTAACCATCACATTTGATTTTGAAGCTGAGATTTGCTGAAGCCATAGAGCGACAGAACCTCAAGGGTGAGAGTTTCCCCCAAGAAGGCCGCCTCTCCTTTGTAAACAGCACCAGGAGCCTAACCAGTGGGGTGAGGTAATTCTACAGTGAGGGAAAAGGGAAGAGGGGTTGGAGCAGTCTTGCGCAGCCTCACTAGGAGAGCAAGTTCTTGAGCGAAGCAAGCGGAGAAAAAGAAGAGCAAACCCCACCCAGAGGCAGATTTTATAATGAGGACAAAGTCCAAGAGACGGTTTCTTCTCAAGACGCATGCGCCAATGGGTGCCTGCACCGCTCCTGGGCTCCAGCCAGCAACAGTTCTGCGGTGTGGTCCCTGGACTGCTAAGACAACTGACTAAAACAAAGAAGTTCCTAGGGACAAGTAAGTAATGATTTGCTGTGATTCGTCAAGCAATGAATTATATGCACTGTAGTTGGTGTTCTTGTTTCTAAGACTATATTTGGGGCGAAAGAAGCAAGCACATCCAAGAAGCCCCCCCCCCTCAAAAGAATAAAAAGAAATCAGAATGGTTTTGGTAAGGGTAATTGTATGTTGGCATGCACTAGAGATGTTGAACTGAGCAGTATGAAAGATAAAAGCAAAGTATTTGTTTTGAGCCTTTGCAGTTTAAAGTATTATATCTTATCAAAATAGTTATCCCAAATTTAGGACTGTCGTGGTTGCATCCCCTGGTCAGTTGAGATGTTTTAGCTCAGATGCCAACATGTTGTTCTCAGGGAGCTCACATTCACCTTCTAGAACCCTAAGTAGGATCCTGAGCCTGTACGCCAGCATGAGGCAGGAGACAGGGGTCTGACAGGAGAAAGGTTGGAACTGTGTTGAATTGGTCATGGGACCCGCAGTTTTTCTGCAGCCATGTTTCTGTGTGCTCGGCTCACCAAATTGCAAATATTCCCTAAGCAGCTGGCCAAATGTTCCCAATTTCTCTTTCACAGCCTATTTTTCTGCTTGACTGAGCCCTGACCTAATTGAACCCCACAATGCCCAAGACTGTGCCCCATTGCTTATATGTAAATTATTGCCAAAGGGGAGAAAAAACAGACAGATTAACCAGGTGCCCAACAAGATCATTTGCCTCACCTTAAGTAATTTTCTTTAGTGGGATTTGACTTCTGAATGGGCTATAGTTGCCAAATCAGACCCCAGAGAGCAGGTCTGGTTAAACTTCCTTCCCCTAAAACTTTGCACGCTAAAATTGTGCTCTTCGCATTGACTAAATATTGTCATCTGTCAGCTTTATAGTTGAGTTGATCAAGACCTGAGCCTTTGTTTCCTATTGCACTTTCAGCTAGTGTGAGCCTTGTTACCTGAGCTAAGCTCGTGATTCACGTTATTTATGGAAAGGTTATCAGTGATCATGGAAATTACCTGGTCCTTCCATAGTCACTTTGTTAAGTCTACGGAAAAGACCACGAATTGACCTCAAAACTTTTTGTGAGTGCAACATAAACTCATAGCTCATCTTAACTAGCTGCCTTAGCAAATTACTACCAATACATGAGAAGAGGAAAAAAAGTCTTAAATCTTAAAAACCTGTTTTCCATGTGGAGAATGTTTTATGCAAAGAACTCTGTGGAGGTAAATGGAAGTTAGCAGGTTCCCCCCATTAGCATCAGTGAGGGCTTATACACAAGCCTGATGGTGACTACCTGGAGTGTGGTGTGGGTGTGTGTAAGTGGGCACACCTGAGCGGAGACTGAGTGTATAAGGGCAGCTGTGCAGAAGCGCAGCAGCAGAGGACAGGAGGAGGCAGAGGGCCATGCAGTGGCTTGCAGAAGAGACCACTAAAGAATGCCAGCAAGTCCAGAAAGAGTAACGATTTGCCAGGGCCTAGGAGGCCTCCCAGCCTCCTGCACCACCCCCTGCTGACTTCCCCCCTCCCACCTCCATCCCCGCCCTGCACCTGGTTGCCTCTGTGCAAATGCAGTAGAAGGATCATTAAAAGCCTGGAAAAGCCACTGAGGAATCCAGGACTCCTCCTCTACCTACCTGTCTGCCTGGATCTTCGAAAACCTCTGTGCCTTGCTGATACAACACTCTGTAAGGAGCTTATAGACCCTTCTTATCTAGTCTTGAAAAGTGGCACAGGAATTATAGAAGATAGACAAGGACAGATGAACAGAATTTTAATATAGATGATATAATTTAAGAGAGTTCAGTGACTAAAAGACCTTCAGTATGCATCAGAACATTAATCCTCTTTTAAGATCTGTGATAATTAAGGGTGATTCCCTTCTCTGAGCTTGAGCTTTATTTGATTATTTTAAGAGCATAAAGAGGGTGAATGTTAGGAAAATTAGAGACACAGAATAGCCAAAAGGCTATCCTGTCCTTCAGTTCCCTATTAAATATGATGATAAGCAATCTGAATCTATCATAGAATTGCTACCAGCTTTGATCTTAATTTGTTACTTGTCCAGTAAATTCTGAACCCGAGGCTCACCTTGCTCTTACAGTAATTGGGGATGGGAACACAGAAAAGTACTTGGAAATTGGCAGCTATTGCAAGATGTGGTCATTGGGGGCCTCTGAGATCTCTTTCTAAAGTGCAGATACATTCTGACTTCTATTTGGCAGATTTTGAAAATCCTCAGTGCTTTTTTATCAAAATTCCCTTGATTTACATCACAGAGGAACAAGTTATTTTTCTAATTTCTAAAATATACATGCAATAAACCAAGCAAACGATCAAAAGAGGGAGAGAGAAAATAATTTACACAATTCCTTCCCTTGTTTTTTATGCTAACTATGTTTTGAAAAGGGGTACTAAAGTTTTTACTTGCTTAACAATCAAATTTGCAGTTTGTGATTCCTTTGTGTTATGTAAGAAAGTAAGGTCATTACAAGATAGAAGTTTATGGTTTATGGAGTTTTTTATGAGGATGTCATAATAAAGTTGTTTTATAAATTTTATTTATATTTTATTTTAATTTTTAGGGTTACATATTTGCTCTTCTGTGTGCATATGTTCCATTTACCCTCCACCAACCCATCCATGCCAGTATCCCATCTGCTTTGACTTCCTACCCTCTACTCCCTCCCCTCTGTTTCCTCTGATAACCATTATATCCTTTCACAGAGTTCAAGATTCATCTCTACTGAATTTTTCCTGTGTATATTTTTTGGTTATTTATATTCTACAGATGAGTGAAATGATCTGATAGTTCTTTCACTTTTTCATTTATTTCACTTAATGTAATCACCTTGAGTTCCATCCATTTTATCCCAATTGCTACTCTTTTTTCATAGCTGTGTAGTATTGATGATATATTCCAATTTCTTCTTCCATTTGTCTATGGAAGGGCACTTACTTTGGTTCCATTACTTGGCAATTATGGACGGTGCTTCTAGGTACATAGGCGTAGATAATTCTTTTCATATTGGAGTTATCATAATTTTTGGATAAATGTCTAATAGTGGTATTATTGGATTATTTGGCATTTCCTTTTTTTTTTTTTTTAAATAAATCTCCATACTATTTTCTACAGGGGCTGAACCAATTTGTATTCCTACCAACAGTGGTCAAGAGTTCCTTTTCAGTGCATCCATGTACAAATTAACACTTGTTTATTTAATTCTTTGTGTATGGGCTGTTCTCACAGGGGTGAGGTGACATCTCATTGTGGTATTGATTTGCATTTCCCTTATAATAATAAATGATGTCAGTAGACTGTAGTTCCTACATCTGTAGAACATGTGAATTTCTACTTTAGAAAAGTGTTTATTTAGGTTTTTTGCTCAGTTTTTGATTGGATTGTTTGTTTGTTTTGTCCTTGGATTGGATAAACACTTTGTAAATTTTGGAGATTAGCCCCATGTCAGATGTGTGTTGTACACATACTTTTTCAGTTCTGTAGATTGCCTTTTTGTTTTGTGATGATCTCTTTTCAGGTGCAAAGGTTATTTAGTTTGATGTCCCATTTGTTTGTTTTTGCTTTAGTTTCCCTTGCTGTTGGGTTTGAATCCCCAAGTATATCTTTGTGGTAGATGTCCTTTAGGGTGCCCCTGTGTTTTCTTTCAAGTTTTTTATTAATTTGTTTCTTATATCCAGATCTTAAATGCAGTTTGAATTTTTTTTTATATGGAGTTAAGCATGGATATTGTTTCATTTTTTTTGCATGACACTATCCGTGTTCCCCAGCACCATTTACTGAAGAGGTCATCCAGGATATAAAATAAATGCATCAAAAATCAGTTGCATTTCTATATGCAAGCAGTGATCAGAAAGATAAATGGGGAATACAATTCCATTTACAATCAACCTCAAATGAATGAAATGACTGGAATAATCTTAACAAAGGAGGTGAAGGACCTATATCTTGAAAACTATAGAACTTTGTTAGAGGAAATAAAAGATGGAAAGAAATGGAAAGATACACCATGCTGATGGATTGGAAAAATTAACATATTTGAAATGTTCATATCACCTAAAACAATTTACATTTTCAATGCATTACCTGTCAAGATACCAGTCACTTCTTTGAAGGAACAATTATTAAATTTATATGAAACCACAAAAGGATCCAAATAGCTAAAGCAATCCTGAAAGTAAAGGAGAAAAATGGAGGTAGCACACTTCCTGACTTCCACAGTAGTCAAAACAGTATGATATTGGAACAATAGGAATTCAGACCAATGGATGAGAATAGAAATCCCAGAAATAAAACCATACAAATATGAACAGTTGATCTTTGGTAAAGGAGCTACAGCTATATAATGGAGAAATCATAATAACAAAGTTCTTAATATCTCTATCTCTTCAGGTTCCCTTTCTGCTTACTTTGCTTCCTTCTAACCCTTGATAACTTCTAATCATCCCCTAAGCTGGTACACAATATCTCCATATTGCATAGTTTATGATGTAGGATGACAAGTCTTTAAGGATATGCATGTCATCTGAGTCATTGAGGCTGCCAGGTGCTGCTCTACCACAAGTGTGGTCAAAAGGTGAGAGTGTCTCATCTAGTTGTGAGTTGAAAAAAGAAATACAATAAATCTGTAGCTGAAATGTGACTCAAGGGCGACCAGATTGCCATGTTTGGGAGTTGTTGGAATAGTGACATATTTAGATTCTGTAAACCTGTCTTTGAATTTTGATTCTCCCAATTATTAAATACAAGACTATCCATTAAAAACTCCCCTATTCAATGAAATAGATTTATTTTGCACAACTGCTTCCCTGTGCAGTTGTTCTATAAGATTGTATGTGTGTGTGAAAGTGCATCATAAACCGTAAGGCATATAAAGATAAAATACTATTTAGTCAAAAGCACACATCAGGAGTTTACTATTCTATAAATTCTACAATTAATGTTGCTATCATAAAATACAAAAACATGCAGAATATATGGTTCCTGTTC